GCGCGCCCTCGGCGCCGGCGCCGCGTTGGGTCGTGCGGCTCCGTCGGCCACGCCCCTCCTCCTCCCCCTCAGCCGACCAATCGAAGAGGGTAACGTAACGGAGAGGGCGTGGCCAGGCGGGCTCAGCGCGCTTGGGGCGGGGCCGCTGCTCTGACCTCACTACTTCGCGCCGGAAGCGGCTCGGTTTGGGGCGCCCCGGTGCGTCTGCGGACCCGCGGGGCCGGTGCCAACATGCCGGTCACCGGGAAGACTTTCCGCCGGCGCCGGGCCGACTCAGAGTCAGAGGAAGATGAGCAGAAATCAGAGGAGGTTCGGTATGTGCAGAACGAGACTCCCCCAGGGCAGGTAGACGCAGTCAGGGTGGGTGCGGTAGCCAGTGGCCAGGTGCCTCGCTGACACAACCGCTGATACAGTTGTGTTTTTGTGGGGACGAAGAAGTCGCGCTTTGGACGGGTGAAGGCCTCTGGCCTAGGGTCGCAAGTTGGGAGAGGTGTCCCCAACTCCGTGGGTCTGACCCCCAGTGGGTCCACCCGGGGGGTTGATCTCCACCACTCTTAACGGCGGCTCAGCCGTGGGGCCGGGGAGCCGGTCGAAGCTGCCTGGCTTCTGTTTGTTTGCTGGGAGCATCGCTTAGCTCGTGCATGCCCTTTCTTCAGATTGAAACTGGAAGAAACCCGGGAGGTGCAGAATTTGAGGAAGAGACCCAATGGAGTGAGGTGAGTACCCAGGGGCGGACAGCAAGCCCCCGCCCACGGTGCCTTTTTACATTGTCTACTTTGTTTCCACTGCCCGGAGAGGGGACCAGTGTTCTCTGAAAACATGTAACCAGACCTATTCCATGGGCCGTTGTGGTCGTTGCTCCGGAGGCCCGCAAACGGATCCCCAACCTGGTTTTGGTTACACCCAGTTAATTGTGGAATGCCCATTGAGTGTTAAGAATTGGGAAGATTTGGAAATGTATAATCAAGAAAATAACAATCAGCAGCCTCATTCTCCCAAACCGAGGAAACCAATGTGAACATTTTCATGTCCTTTCCCCTCTCTGCCCCCCTCTTAGACTGTGGTCAATATTGCACACGCTTTTTTAGATACATGCTTTATTTTTTATAGTAATAGTTTTATTGACATACAGAATCATGTACACTTTTATTCTTTGGCATTTTAACGCAACATGACATTTTAAACCCACATTGAGAGATATGTTTGTCAACCTTTTTTATGACTGCACAATATTCTACCTAATGATTTTGCCACCATTTGGTTATGATTCCCCTGTATGGGGACATGTAGGGTAATTATATAAATTCTTGCCATCAAATAAGCCTGCATAGATCATCTCCCACATTTGTCTTTAGAGGTCATTTCCCTGAAGGCAGAATCTTGAAAAAATGAGATTACTAAGCAAAGGGATACCAAATGGCTTTACAGGAAAGTGTCCCACTTCACCGCCAGCCGCAGCCTCCTCTAGCAGTGAGAGAGTTTATCGAACCCTATTTTATCTCTCTGCTGTTGGCTTTGTTTAACATTTTATTGTGTTTTAGGTGAAAGTTTACATAGCAGATTAGTTTTCCAATAAGCGATTTATACACACACTGCTTCATGATGCTGGTTGCGATCCCTGCAGTGTGTCAGCACTCACCACTTTTCCTCCCGGGTCTCTGGTCCCATTGATCCTGTTCCCTGGTTCCAGGCCAATGTTGCCCGATGGTCTCGCACGGTTGAGTGCTCTGGAGTTTATTTCTTGTGAGATTTCCCAGCTGGCTTTGGAGCCAACCCTTCAAGTCTTATCTTTGCACTGATGTTGTTCTAAAACATGCTCTCCCTTACTGTGTGCTTATTCTCAGCGCGGTGGCCTTGCTGGTGGGGGAGAAAGTGCAGGAAGAGACAACCCTTGTAGTAAGTTGTGGGGGTTCTGGGCTGTGGGGAAATGTGGCTGCTCTTCACTGGCTGGCGGTTTTGTTTTTCTTCAGAAATCCCACTGCCAGTTACAGAGATGCTCCTTTTAAACTAAGTATGCTTTCTCCAGGACGATCCCTTTCAGATGAACACGGGCGGTATGGTGGACATGAAGAAGCTGAAGGAGAGGGGGAAGGACAAGTAAGCACAGGAC